CCTGGGGGGTGCATATCCAACCAAATCGCCTGCCCTACCCTTCCCCCATTGCTCTGCATCCGCACCCGCCGGCGCAGGCGGCGTTTATTTGAATCCCAGATGGCTCTCAGCCAATGGCTCTTTCATCTTATTCAAGCTCCAGGCCATCCAAGGTTGGATCATGTGTGAATGTTTGTACTTTTGCGGCATACTGCAAGACGACGTTTCAAACAGCTCGAGCTTGTTTTTCAAAGGAAGCTGTAGGAATCAGCATCGCCATGGATTCCAGAGCCTAGGGCTGTTTTCGAATCCTTTTGATGCTCATTGCAAGATGGAGAATTGCTCGTTTTTGGTGATCAAGCATCCACAACCCTCTTTCGTATGCTTGAGCTTCGAGCACATCTCTGACTGTAGAGTTGTTTGGTGTCAAGATTGTTTCTCGTAAAGGATCTCTCTGATTAGGCAATTGATTGTTGTTTTGGTTGGCATTCTACAAGACCCATACTTCCTCCTCTCTGTGTCAACCAAGCACATAAGCATAAGGCATGTCAGTCGTGTAGGCAACTTGATTGCAAATAGATCGCAAGTGTAAGATCGATGAACTATTCAACGCCATGAATGCCGGATGTGAATGAACTTCCCTCAGGACTTCTCAGTATCAGAACCAGCGAGCTAAGACATAAGGTAGAGTCTCCATTGAATATCATTCCTGCGAATGTAATGTTTTTATCAGTTGTGGGGAAGAGAAGCATGGAGACAAGCGGGTGCCCAAGCGAATAGGAACATCTTGCGGATGTAGGTTTGGACAAAGACGGCGATGATTCCGAGGTTGTGAAACAGGCAGCGAAAAGATGCTGAGGTTTTCGGAGTTCATAAACATGGCTTGTGACGAGCATGTCACACGTAAAGCGATGGAAAACAACAAACAAAAATTGTAAAGCAATCGAAAGCAACGAAAATCAATTGAATACAACAAACAAAATTCTTCTCAAACGTCTTACTCCTTGACTTCAACCACTGATTGAACATCTTTTTGACCTCGGTCATATCTCGACAAATCCGATTGTACTCCGCCGCTGAACAGAAAGTTGTTAGCGCCATCTTTTCAACGAGTGGTGCCGGGTTTGCAATCGAGAAGTGAGAGATTTCACAGTATTTATTATTTTCGATGTCGTCTTCATGAAAAAATATATACCCATGCACTCTGAAATTATCGTGGAGATCATCGTTGGCATGCTCCAACATGCAAGGAAAGCTGAAGAAACACATTTTTGGTATAGCATTCATTTCATCCGTATCCTTGTAAATTGATTGATAACAATCACGGTTTCCAACCTTGTTCAAAATTCTTTTCAGGGCCACACAGGGCACTCGATTAGTTATAATGGTTTCGTCTACATGTTCCAAGAGGACTCCATTGTACATGATGTACACTTCGACAACCTGTGCATCTGAGTGCAGCGATTTGATCATGCCCAGTCGATTCACTTCAACGCCCCTGTGATCTTCACACTGATATTGAACCCCTGTGCCAGGCTCAAGAATAATATTCAAATTACTGCTTGGCTTTTTCCAGTACATCCTGGGCAAGTCTCGATCATCAACTGACGTATGCAGGATCATTCGAAGCTTCAAATCTTGAGGTGTCTTTGACTCATCACAAGTCTCTTCCTGCTCCAAGAATGTATCGAAATCTTCCTGCCTTCGCCTTCTCTGAATTCCATTTGTTGCTGATACACGACGGTGAAGATTCATTTGTTGGTGTCTATAACTGGAGCGCAAGGGAAAGGGAAGCAACGGGGAGAGAGGGGAGCAGGGGGGAGGGAGGGAGCAGGAGGAAGGGAGGGGAGCAGGGGGGGGGAGGGATGGATAAGAGCATTGAAGGAGAGGGGAGGATACTTGCATGGAGATCTCAGGATTTTAATGAAAATTATTTG